AGGTGTGTCAAAGAAGAAAAAGTGGACTGTGCATTATCCAAACATTCATAGACTCATATAGATCGCTAGCTGGAGGATTCTCTGCCAATTGAAGTCTCTAAGCCACAGGATTTGGGGACTTCAACAGCAGAGTCAAGGGAAAGGGTAGGGACGGCTTTGTGGCCTGCATTATGCAGGGGGTCAGACCAGATGATCATAATGGTCCCTTCTGACCTTAAAGTCTATGAGTCTATTACTTTGCATTTATCAATGCTGAATTTCATCTGGCATTTTGTTGCCCAGTTTTGAGAGATCCTTTTATAGCTCTTCGCAGTCTGCCTGGGACTTAACTATCTTGAGTAGTTTTGTATCATATCATCTGCAAATTTTGCCACCTCACTGTTTACCCCCTTTTCCAGATCATTTATGAATATATTGAATAGGATGGTCCCAGTACAGACCCCTGGGGGACACAACTATTTACCTCTCCATTCTGAAAACTGACCATTTATTCCTACCGTTTGATTCCTATCTTTTAACCAGTTACCAATCCAGGAGAGGACCTTCCCTCTTATCCCATGACAGTTTACTTTGCTTAAGAGACTTTGGTGAGGGACCTTGTTAAAAGCTTTCTGAAAATCTCAGTACACTATATCCACTGGATCCCCCTTGTCCACATGCTTGTTGACCTCCTCAAAAAAATCTAGTAGATTGGTGAAGCATGATTTCCCTTTACAAAACCATCTTGACTCTTCCCCAACAAATTATGTTCAAGTAGGTGTCTGACAATTTTGTTCTTTACTATAGTTTCAACCAGTTTGCTTGGTACTGACATCAGACTTACCAGCCTGTAATTGCTGGGATCACCTCTGGAGCCATTTTTAAAAATTGGCATCACATTAGCTATCTTCCAGGTACAGAAGCTGATTTAAATTATAGTAGTTCTGCAATTTCACATTTGAGCTCCTTCAGAAGTCTCATCTGGTCCTGGTGACTTATTACTATTTAGTTTATCTATTTGTTCCTAAACTTCCTCGAACGACACCTCAATCTGCGACAGTTCCTCAGATTTGTCACCTAAAAAGAATGGCTCAGGTTTGGGAATTTTCCTCACATCCTCAGCCATGAAGACCGATGCAAATAATTCATTTAGTTTCTCTGCAATGGCCTTAGGCTGAGCAGTCACTTACCAGCAGATAAGTAGCAATGGCAACATCTTCATATACAAATTTTTCAGGATCTGTTACTTCAGGCCACACCTTCAGATAAACAGAGGTAAAATTACCAAATTGCTTTGTCATTTTAACTGCATCTCTTTAAAGAACATGCTCAACTAGATTGGCTTTGATAGTCACCCCATCTTTAACCTATCTCTGAAAATTACGGAATTCTAACCTTCCCATTAATTGGGGGGGGGGGGAAACTTACTCCATGATAAGCAATATGAGACTGCATACATTTTTGCGAGTCACACAATAAACTAACTGGTGTACGCACACTAGGACAGAGAACATCTGCAGTCAGTCAGTCAAGGTAAGTTTCGGGACCAGTTATGGTTGTATATGTGCAAATCACACTGAACAAAGCCCACCACATGTTCTCTAGTACATTGCAGGTGCACTGGTCTGCTTATTATGTCTCAGGAAAATTCACATCCATTGGTATGGCTATGTCTCACATTGGAAAGATTATTATTTGTATTACAGCAGTGCCTATCAATGTTCCCTCTAATTTTTTACATCCATGTGCAGAATTAATTTTGTTAGGTGCACCAATATAGAGGTGGTTATTCACGTAGCTGAAGTTGCGTATCTTAGTTCGAACTGGGGGGTTAGTGTGGACCAGCCCTTAGAGCCAGGTTGTCAGAGGTATTTAAGCAGCTAAGGCAACAATGACTTTCAGTGAGAGTTAGACTTCTACGTGCGTAATTCACTTTTGAAAAACTGGACATAGGCTCCTAAGTCAGTCAGCCTTGCTTTTGAAAATGTCATCGGAAGCACATCAAGGCTGTGCACCTCAGATACTATCGTGCTCATCATTTTCTCCTAGTTACGAATTACAAGTGCAGATTTCAATTTGACTCATAACCACCACCAACACTATGAAATAACGTTGAACTCTCTTCACATACACAGGGAACTTTAAAATCAAGAACAAATTTTAATTTAATGATTTTCAAATAGATTTCTCCTCTTTTAACTAAGACCACAGTCTCACTAGGAAGCAGAAAACACTATGAGAGAATGGGAGTCTAGATTTTATCGCCACACTTACCTTTACCATTTCTTTGTATTTTTTTTTTAGCTCTTGATAAACCCTGCTGTATTTAGCCACAGAAATGAGTGAGAGTGTACTTTTAAACTCACTCTGCTTTTCCTCAGTGGACCATTTAGCCAGTTTGGACAATAGTTCATTTCCAAGCCACGTTCTTTTGGGGTATACTATTCCATCTGCGACCCAGTTTTCTGGAGATGAAGTTAAAATAGACACAGACCTTTAAAAATATAAGAAATATGAATAAATACAGTGTATGTCACTGATTAAACTAAAGGCTCAGTCAAGAGAAAAAAACAGCAGAAGTCACTTTAAACACAAGCTTTATTACATTTATCTTTTGCATACATCATAGGGCAGGATTTTCAAAAGCATTCAGCATTGGCCTAACTGCTCCCATTGTAGTTAGTGGCTCCCAATGCTGAGTGCTTTTGAAAATCCCACTCTGTGTATTGAAGAAAGGAATTGACATACCAGGAAAGTTCAGAAGAATTGATATTTATAGCTTGGCTATTTGGAGGCTAGGACACCAATCCTGAAAACACTTAAGTACACACATAACTTTGCTCACTTCAGTTGCCCCATTGGCTTCAACAGAACTATTCATGTGCATCATGTTAATCACATAACTGTTTGTGGGGTTGGGGCCTATGCAGGAGATTTGATAACATTACAAAATTATGTGAAGGGTATAAAGATCCAAGAGGAAAATGAGATATTCAGGGAGGTCCAAGGGATAGAACAAGAAACAACTAGGTAATACATGAAAACAACAGAAAACAGAATGAGTAAAAGAGAAAACATCTTAGCAATGAATTCTGTTCAGCAGTAGAAGAATCTCCCAGATGATGTGGTAGAATTCCCATTGTTTAAGGCACTGGTTCCCAAACTGGGGGGCGTGCCCACCTGGGAGGGAGTGAAGAAATTCCAAGGGGGGCATGAGGCTGCCTGGCCCTTGAGCTCCCGGCCGCGGAAGCTAGCCCCTGGCCCCTCCACTCCTGTCCCCCATCCCCCACAACCACGCTGCCGCGCAGGCAGCACAGCTTGCCCGTGCCCACCTCCCAGGCTTTCCAATAAGCCTGTCCTGCCGCTCTGAGCGGCCTGGTAAGGAGGCGGGGAGCGGGGAGGTTGGATAAGGGGCAGGAGGTCCCGGGGGGCAGTCAGGAGACAGGGAGTGGTTGGATGGGGGCGGTGGTTCTGGGGGAGCGGTCAGGAGATGGGGGGGGGGTTGGATAGCCATGGGAGTCCTGTCAGGGGGTAGGGTGTGGATAGGGGTT